GTTAGATATGGAGTAAATGGTTATGTTGTCAACTTAGAGAATAGGACATGCACTTGTTTCAAGTGGGATCTAACTGGAATCCCTTGTCCTCATGTTGTGACTGCTATTTTCTTTCAAAAAGAGAGAGTTGAGGATTATGTGCATGCAGCTTCCAAAAAGGAGACCTACTTGAGAACTTATGAGTCATTCATAAATCCAGTTAATGGGCAAGATCAGTGGCCTAAGACAAGTTGTGACCATACTTCCTCCTAAGCTAAAAAGACCAATTGGTAGGCCTCAAAAGAAAAGAATTAGGGACCCAGGTGAACCTTAGAACCCATTCAAGTTGCAGAGGAAGTGTACTAGCCTCAAATACTCTAAGCGTGGTGTATATGGTCATAATCAAAGAACATGCAAGGGGCCTGTCAAGGGTAAAAAGGATGGAGCTGCAAGTTCATCAAAGAATGTAAGTAATCTATTGGTATACTCTATTTGTAATATGTAATTGACTTCCATGTATGCTCCACGTGTGGTTTAACAATTTTTTTGTAATAGGTGAGGAGTCGACAAACTTTCATGGGATTCATATCAGAAGCAATATTTGGGGAATCATCAACTGGTGGACAACAGTAGCAGCCACCACAAAGAAGGGCAACATCAACTGATAGACAACAGTAGTAGCCACCACAAAGAATGGCAACATCAACTGGTGGACAGTAGCAGCAGCCACGACAAAGGAGACTTGAAACAAGATAAACTAATGGAGTGCATCAACAAGTACAGAGGGCATCAACAAAAAGGACAACAACACCAGGAACAACCATGACAAGGGATGAAGTTGAACAAGTCATAAGTAGTTAGGCTAGTGTTAATAGAGACATGGTGAACTAAATGTTGTGATTATGAACTGCTTTTTTTTGTAATGGTCATGTCACCTGAAGACATCTTATGTATTTGAAACAGATTATGTATTTGGAATGGTGAACTATTTTTTTTTAATTTTTTATTATTTTTATTATTTTTTGTAATGGTGAACTGCTATTTTATATCAACAATGGGATTAGGGACAGATTATGTATTTGGAACAATTTATTGTACATGCTTGGTTTGTAATGGGATTCACATGTTGAATGGTTATTATACACGTTTGGTTTTTAATAGGATTGACAAGTTGGATGGTTATTATACATGCTTGGTTTTGATTACTCCATTCATTAATGACTTGGGTTGGCAAGGTTTTGATTTGTTTACCTTTTGTTGACGTGAGATGCTCACTGTTAGTTGGACAAAATTTATTTGTTTGGCCTAAGTCCAACTTTTATTACTCCATTCATTTCCTTTCTTTGTATTCAACACAAAGATAAAAATTACGTATTCATTGGCACAAGTGTAGAGCAAGAATGGACCTTCATTAGTGATCAACAAAGGTATATTTATGTTTAATGATTTTTTCATTACTCTGTTATGTGCCTTAATGTTTTTCACTAGTCATGGTTTTGACATTTATATTTTATAGAGACTGGTTCCAACTCTTGAAGAATTTTATGTCTTGAAGGCAATTATAGGTTTTGTTTTAGATACCTTTATGCAAATTTTAAAAAGGAGTTTAGAGGAAAGGAGCTAAAGAGTTGTGTATGAAAAGCTACAAATGCATATACAAGGATTGATTGGGAGAAGCATATGACCACGTTGCATAGTGTAGATAGTAGAGCATATGATTAGATCATGAGAGTTAATCCAGGTCAGTGGTCTAGGCATGCATTCAATCCTAGAATAAAGTGTAATAGATTATTGAACAATATTTTAGAGTGTTTTAACAATTAGGTCTTATCAGCTAGAGATAGATCCATCCTCACCATGTTAGAGTGGATCAGGAGGGCTTTGATGGTGAGGCTACATGAATGTAGAGACAAAATGATTAAGTACCAAGGGCCAATCTGTGCAGGCATACAAACTAAGATTGAGAGGTCAAAGCTAAAATCTATAGTATGGATACCTACTTAGTCAGAGGGTGCTCAATTTGAAGTTAGATATGGAGTAAATGGTTATGTTGTCAACTTAGAGAATAGGACATGCACTTGTTTCAAGTGGGATCTAACTGGAATCCCTTGTCCTCATGTTGTGACTGCTATTTTCTTTCAAAAAGAGAGAGTTGAGGATTATGTGCATGCAGCTTCCAAAAAGGAGACCTACTTGAGAACTTATGAGTCATTCATAAATCCAGTTAATGGGCAAGATCAGTGGCCTAAGACAAGTTGTGACCATACTTCCTCCTAAGCTAAAAAGACCAATTGGTAGGCCTCAAAAGAAAAGAATTAGGGACCCAGGTGAACCTTAGAACCCATTCAAGTTGCAGAGGAAGTGTACTAGCCTCAAATACTCTAAGCGTGGTGTATATGGTCATAATCAAAGAACATGCAAGGGGCCTGTCAAGGGTAAAAAGGATGGAGCTGCAAGTTCATCAAAGAATGTAAGTAATCTATTGGTATACTCTATTTGTAATATGTAATTGACTTCCATGTATGCTCCAAGTGTGGTTTAACAATTTTTTTGTAACAGGTGAGGAGTCGATAAACTTTCATGAATCATCAACTGGTGGACAACAGCAGCAGCCACCACAAAGAAGGGCAACATCAACTGGTAGACAACAGCAGTAGCCACCACAAAGAATGGCAACATCAACTGGTGGATAGTACCAGTAGCCACCACAAGGGAGACTTGAAACAAGATCAACTAATGGAGTGCATCAGCAAGTACAGAGGGCATCAACAAAAAGGACAACAACACCAGGAACAACTATGAAAAGGGATGAAGTTGAACAAGTCATAAGTAGTTAGGCTAGTGTTAATAGAGACATGGTGAACTAAATGTTGTGATTGTGAATTGCTTTTTTTGTAATGGTCATGTCACCTGAAGACATATTATGTATTTGGAACAGATTATGTATTTGGAATGGTGAACTATTTTTTTTTTTAATTTTTTTTAATTTTTAATTTTTTTTTTTGTAATGGTGAATTGCTATTTTATATCAACAATGGGATTAGGGACATATTATGTATTTGGAACAATTTATTGTACATGCTTGGTTTGTAATGGGATTCACATGTTGAATGGTTATTATACACGTTTGGTTTTTAATAGGATTGACAAGTTGGATGGTTATTATACATGCTTGGTTTCTAATAAAATTGACAAGTTGGATGGTTATTATACATGTTGGATAGTTTGTAATGGTATTAACAAGTTATTAGTTTTTTTATGCATGGTTTGTGCTGTTTATTGGTCACTACTAGAAAATGAAGCTTTAGACACGGCATTTTTTGCGACGGTTTGAAAATCGTCGCAAAAAGCAAGCTTTTGCGACGGTAAAAAAAACCATCGTGAAATTAATTATTTGGCAATGACAATTGACTATCGCAAAAAAGGTACAAAAGAAATACCATTTTTGGAGATGAAAAATCCAAGACCATGGCAAAAAGTAATATTATATGCGACGGTGCATTACTCGTAAAAGAAATTCATCTTGTTATCTTTTGTGCGACGCCCTTTGTTAGTCCGTCGTAAAAGACTTATTTTTGCTCATTTGCGATGGTCTTTAAACTCATCGCAAAAACTTAGGCCTCGTTTGGCAAGTGGCTATTTTAGTCAAAAAGTCAAAAATTTACTAAAAAAATCAAAAAACCAACAACACATACCAAAAAATCAAAGGTTGCGTTTGGTAGAGTTTTGTAAATATGATTTGAGAGTATGAGTTGTATTTTGAGTTTGTGAGATGTGGAATTATGATTTGAGTGTAGAAAATTTGTTTGGTTATAGTTTTTGAATAGAGTGTTGAATTGAGTTTTGAATTGAGTGTGGAATTGAGTTTTGAAAGTTTGATTTGACATGTGAAGTAAGAAAATTTGTTTGGTTATGAGTTTTGGAAAAAGTTTTCAAAACTTAATTCAAATTGTTCTAACTCATAACAAAACACACTACTTTCACACTATTGAAAATTCTGATCAACACTCAATAACCAAACTCTTTTTAAAATTCAATTAAAAAAATTTATTATTAACAGAAAATAACATTAATCAATTTTTTAATTGAAAATACTACAAAGGAAATAATTTTTTTTCAAAATAAATATTCAAAAAATTCAAATCATAAATATTTAAATAATCTAAAAAATTTAATAAATAAAAAATTAAAATAAATATTCAAAAAATTTAAATCGTAAAAATTTAAATAATTTAAATATTCAAAAAATTTAAATAATTTAAAATGTTAATATTTTTAATTTAAAAACAACTCTACACTCAAATCGTAACCAAACACATAAAACAAAACTCAATTAAGAAATTATTTTTAAAACTCATAACCAAACACATAACTCGAAACTTCATACTACTTTTACAACTCTACACTCAAATTGTAACCAAATACATAACAAAAAAATTAAAATATTTAAAATACAGAACAAAAAAAATTAAAATATTTAAAAATATTTTTATAAAATAGACTTTGAATTTATTTTTATAAAATATTTTCAAATTTAAAAAATTAAAATCGTAATATTTTGAAATTAAAATATTTAAAAATATTCAAAAAATAAAAAAATAAAAAAGTTGTAACATATTTAAATATTAAAATATTTAAAATTTAATAAAATTAAAATATTGATTTGAATTGAGTTTTGAAAAGAGTTTTGGTTATGAGTTTTAAAAAATAGTGATTATGTTTTGAATTGAGTTTTGAGAAATAGGTGTACAATTATGATTTAAAAACTCAAAACAAACAATACACTCAAATCAATGGGTGGAACTATAATTTGAATTGCTTACCAAATAGAGCTAAAGATTCCCTTTGCTCTCTACTTTTTGCACATCTTTTCGTAAAAAATTAAAAATTCATCCCAAATATATTAATTTTTTTACATCATATTTTAACTAAAAAATAAAAAAATTACTTTAAAAAAATCTGGTCCCAAACAAGACCTTAATTCCTATTTGTACTTTCGCGCCGTCGACCCCATACCCAAATTTCATACTGGCGCCCAATTTTTTTGCCCATGTCTCCTACTCTTCGCACGTTTCTTTCTCCCCATTCTCTCTCTTAAAACACACGCTCACTCTGTGCCCTCGTCGCTCTCTACCCTAGCTAATCCCTCTTCAGTGCCGCCGCCGACGTCACCCATTCTCCTTCTTCAGTGCTGCCACCGAAGTCGTATCTCCAAGCAAGCGTTAGCGCCGCCGCCGTCGCTTCGAGTATTCAAGATTTGGGGACAGATATTGAGAAACATCACGAGGTATTTCTGATCCCTTCTCTATCTCTCGCTATCGATGCGGTTTTGGCTATGAATATACTTTTCATCTTCTCTCTCTCGGTTTGGTTTTGAATATTTTGTTTCATTTCCTTTTTATGATTGCTTTGTTTTTTGATTGCCCGTGTATATCTTTATTCTCTCTCTATTTGGGTTTTATTTTCTTAGATTTCTTTAACTTCTCTTCATGTCTGCTACGTGTTTGATCAAATGTCCCAATGTACAAGCAGAACTTCTTTGAAAATTTAGACTATTTCATTTGCTTTATTTATTTATTTATTTTTTGACCTAAGATGCAATGCATTCAGTTTTAATATATAATAATAGTTTGCATACATGTGAAACTATTATTATTTATTTAATCCATTAAGGGAAATGAAACTTTAGGTGCTCCAGCTATTTTAGACATGGAAAATAATCCCACAACTTTGTTGGTAATGAACTGTTGCAAGAATTTTGGGCAAGAGCAGCGAAGAGGTTGTTAGTGATGTTGGTGCAGGGGAGATTCCTCTTAAACTAAAAATTAAGGGAATGGTAGTTAACATGGATGCCGAATGTCTTAGAGGTCAATGTAATAATTGAGAGCAAATGTAGGTTGTAGATTTGAAAGGATGATTAGAACTTGGTTGGGTAGGGCTTATTATGAACAATATTTTTTTTCATCTATCTTGGCCCTACTGATTCATACAATTAAGTGGATCAATGATAGATATCAATTGATGCTTAGTTGGATAACATTTTACACCTAAGAGTGGCCAGTTTTGGGAGAAATTATTCACTCTCTTGGAGCAACGCTTCAAGCTCGTAGTTGGACTTGGTTGCTGTGTGCTGCTGCTGGGTAGCATTTTCAACTGGAGGGTTGTTTGATGTTTTTTTTTTTTCCTATTTTTTCTTTTGTTGGTTGTTCAGTGTTGCAGTGCTACTTTTTGGGCTTGTGCTTGGTTGTTTTTGGCTCCTGTTGGTTGGTTTTTATATACTTTAATATTTTTTTATACGTATATCAACATTGGACTGTGGTTAGTATTTTCATTAAAAATTTATGAGATTCTCTTCAACATTAATAAACAAAAACACTTCACTTCAGATTTGGTTTCATTTTAAGAATCTATTTTTTGAGTTATGATGTCACAAAGTAGCAGATTTCTTTGGAGTATTATTTTAAAGAAGCTATTGCATTCATGGTAGAGAATTTTTGTTATAAACTGTCTTTCTCTCTCTTAATTTTCTTTGAGGTGACATGTATTCTTTTCATGTGGTTGGCAATTTAGCATTACTTTTAGAACAGTGGAATATATGTCAAATTTGAGAAATGTTAAAAGAAGAAATGGATTTTGACTTGTGGTTAGAAAAAGAAGATTCACAAAAATTTCTCCTATTTCAAAAATAACAGTTATGAAGTAGAGATATCTTCAATCTATGTATTGTTATATTTATATACTCTAAAGTATGCTGATTCCGCTTCTCCATAAACTCCGCATCAAGCACATAGGCCACCAACCAAGTCTTTTGCATCCTCATTGAATGATATCCATTTGCTTGATACTGACAAAGGTTGGCGAAACCCAAGGAATGTGAAAAATGGAGAAAATTAACGATCTTCTTATTACACAATTTTGAGAGTCCTTTAGTTGAATCTAATTTGCTATGCTATAGCACGGCTTCTTATCTTATGGTCCATTTGTGTTGCTCATATAATATTGATGATAGTTTCAATTTTGTTTCACTTATAGAAAGATAAGAAATGGTATAAACCCATATCACCACTTCTCCTAATTGATCAATATTTATCCTGCCCGGCTAACTGATAGGACTATTTTACATGTTTTTTAAACCAACCCAACCCAAAAAATTTTTTTTATATGATTTGTCAATTACCTAGTAGTGTATGGCAACCATTGTATCTATGCAAGAAGTGAGGTTCCTTAGTCACACTTCAGTTTTGACCTTTGCAGTCTTCTGGAAGATCTGTTATGGGATAACAAACTTTTTATTAATGACTTGGGTTGGCAAGGTTTTGATTTGTTTACCTTTTGTTGACGTGAGATGCTCACTGTTAGTTGAACAAAATTTATTTGTTTGGCCTAACTCTAACTTTTATTACTCCATTCATTTCCTTTCTTTGTATTCAACACAAAGATAAAAATTACGTATTCACTTATTATAATCTTTTGGGTTCAGGTGTGAAGCTTTCTCCACATATCCAAGGTCTTATGACTTAATTCATGCCAATGGGGTTTTCAGTTTGTACAAGGACAAGTGAGTATTTATTTACTATTGCACCTTGAGTTTTTTGTTGAATAGAAAGGGTGTGTTTGGTTTGGTTTTGGGAGATAAGTTTTTAAAAAAATTCTAGGGGTGGGAGAGAGTTTAGAATTTTTTTTGGTTTGTTTGGTTGTATATTTTGGAAATAGTTTTAGAGTATGGGAGTTTAGGATAATTTAGGCTTTGTTTGTCATAACTTAAGTCAAAAAGTCAAAAAGTCACTATCCTATTTAAGTCACATCATCTTATTTAAGTCACATCACCTCTCTATCAAATCACTTCAAACCCAACCAATATCCAACCCATATTTCATAAAAAATCAAAAAGTGTACTTATTTTAGATCATCCCAAACAACTCCTAATATTTTGTTGTAATTGAGTAGATGTGTGTGAGAGAAAAAGTGATTGAGAATAAGAGGAGAGAAGAGAGGGAAAAAATTTCCAACCAAACAAAATTTTAGAAATTTTATTTCAAAAATTGTGTTTTGAGAATTAAACCAAACAAGGCCAAAGTAATTTTTTTTTAGTATGTTTTTGGCCTCCATTGTATGGGAAAAAAATTTCTCTAGCCCTATAAGCTCACAACTGTGTAAAGTAGATTGTTCAACACCTGCGGCACAAACCCATCATTGGTCCTGTACCCTTATGGTGTGCTTGAACCATGATACTATTTGTCTATCACCATTGGCGATAGAGTGTCATTTCTCATGCTAAAACCACACTTCCACCCAGATGAATGTTATTGTTTTAGGAAACAACAAATAGATAGGGCAATGATACAATTATACAATCTTATAGGAGAATTGCTGTTCTAACTGACAGATTTTGCAAATAAATTTTGTGAACAGCTTGAAATGGAAGTTTTGGAAGTATTAAGAATTGTTTTTTTATTTTTATTTTTTTACCTTAATTTCAAAAGTGCCTTTTGATTCTGTTAGTTTGTATAGCACTACTGAATTCAATGTCAAGTGATGCACTAACCATTGAATGTTTTTTGACGAATTGTCTAATCATAAAGGCTCCATTCAGTTGTTAGGAAAAGAAGCAAAGTACAGGAAAAATCAACTTTCCCATAACTTTTTTCCATGTTCATTTAGTTAGAAAGTTGTGGGACTCATAAATTAAACACTTCCCACTAGGATATGTTTTCCCAAAAAAAATGTTTTGGGAACTTTTAATTTTAAAGGCTATAATATATTTATGTTTTGGGAACTTACGGCATTTGCAGGTTAGCTTTATCACTTGATGGAAATATCTTTACATGATTTGTGTTTGGACATGTATTTATCAAATCATTGAAACAAGGGTTCAAGTGTTATGTAATCACATGATTTTATTTCTGTGTAATTATTCACATATCTATATTTATTCTGGAAATTGAGTTTGATTTTGATCCCTAAAGTTCTCATCCTTTTTTCTATTCTTCCAAGCACTTTAATGAACTAAAGACTTTAATAGAAACTATTCAGAGCATCTATGTGGAAAAATCAACCGTTGCTAGTTGAACAAGTAGATTTCAGTAATCTATGATTACTGTCTAAAACACATTTTCTTTGATAAGTAAAATAAATTGTATTAAAAAACACTAAAAAATGGCACAATTTTTGTACAAAAAACATGTGTAGAAAAGAGTGTTGCTAAATGCTTAAACGGTGAATGCTATAGATCACTTGCAGAGTTTGTGTTTTTTTGGAAGAGCTCATTTTGGTTTCGCTTGTACGAAATTTCAGTTTGGATTTCATTTTCTTACAATTTTATTTAATCCAGGCTGCCCACAATGTTGGAGGTCATGTAGTATGTACTGATACAATACATAATTCTATCCTTGGATGCAGTGTGTCTCGTCCTAGATAGGTATATCCCTTGTTATGGGTTTTGTTTTGAAGCTTGTTTCCTTTCTTGAAGTCCTTGGTGTTCATTTTGTTATAGTCTTTGAAGTTAAGATTTTACTTCTCATATCTTTTATTTATGAGAAGTAAAAGCTTTTATTACATTAGATCAAGAGTGTTATACGATATTAAGATTCTTATTAGATTGAAGGGACAATTTCATGGGACTGTTACTAGGCTTGTTATGATGTATATTGTATTGAATATTGGCAGTTAAGAAATAACATGTTTAGTAAACGAAAAAAGTTGAAATGAGAATGTTGGGATGGATTTTTCTTTCTTTTCCTTGCTCTTTTGTTTCTCTCTCTTGGTATATATTGGTACTGTATATGCTCTGCCGTTGTGGTGTTTGTGAACTTAAATTGCTAAGTAAATGTGACACTAAATGCATGTATTTCAAAACTTGCCCTTTATTTGACTTTGCTAGTAAGTATTGCTGGTTCTAGGTGCAGAATTGGCTATATTAGATGAAATTAATTAACTATGTCGAGACTTTTGAAGTTGGAAGGTATGCTTTTGAACAAGTCTAGATGTGGTTTGTCCGTAATGTTTAGTGACTAACTGATCGTTCTTTCTTGTCATGTTTTTACCATCTTTTGAACTAAACTCTTGATATGTATATAGATAAACATGAACTAACTTTTTTCGAACCGGTTGACACATTAAAATGCTTAAATGACGTTAGATGTCAATGAGACTTAGGCTTATAATTTTGGGGATTCAAAGGAATAGGACAAGATGGAGAAAAACCTTCTATCCCTTATCTCCCTCTCTTTAATATATACACGAATAGATTAATAGCATATTGGGTTTTCAATTCAGCCATCTTTGTTTCCCTATTACTATATCTCATTCAGATATAGTGCCCACCCATGCAATAAAATGGATTCTGTGTGCTTGAAATTTTCTTTCTGAATAGTGAATTTAGTTATGGAAGTCCTGTTTGTGCATTCTTACTGCTGGTACATAGAATTTGAAATATATCAGTAACTATCAACTTGAAGATAGTTCATAGCCAGATGTGGCAGTTCCTACTTTTGATATCTCTGTTTGTAAAATTCCTCAAAAGCTGCTAAAAAGTTTCAGGGTGTTTCTTCTTTTGACCAGAACAATGTTTCAATAGATATTTTATTTTGTTTTCTTAAGTGTTTCAATTGGAATGAGTTCCTTGTAAGCCTATAGGAAATGTTTAAGTTTTAGATTATATGTTGAGATCAATATTTTAACCTCAATCTCTTCATAAATTCAATACGCAAACACACCAGAACATGTGCTCACTAATGCTTCTCAAAGCATGGCCACTGTGAATTGTGGAATCCAAACTGTTCTATATTCATCAACCTGATACTGCTGAAATCTCAAACTGGAAAATTCCAAAATAATTAGGACCGCATATTCTAACTTAACAGGGCTGACTTTGTGATTCTCTATCCCTAAATCGCAATGTATTCTTAATTATCGAATCATAGAATCATATCTTAATATTCAACACTCCAAGACAAAAATAACCGATCAGTCCCCTAGCTGAAATATAAGCCCAGCACCAAAATGAACTGCCCTGAATTCCAGCAGAGGCATCAATACAACCTGTGAAAACCAAAACAGAAAGAACAAAAAAGAACTGAAGCAAGATTGAGGAAATGATAAATAACCTGAGGCAAACCTCACTCAAATATGTACTAACAATCACAACACTCAATAGCAAAGTCACTCTCAAAGAAACAGGTTATAGAACCATATCTAAACCAAGTCAAAAATATATCCTCACTTCACTAGGCTCTCACCAATGAATTCCCTACAACTGTGTCAGCAACTGACATAATCCTGCAGGAAAACAAAGTTAGGAGCACTCTTATAAAATTTCACAACACTAAACCCACTAGCTCACTAAGACCACCACCTGACTATATACTCACATCAAACTCAACCCTCAATCCCTAAGGGCCAGCATGACAACCTGCATAGCAAACTGTTAGGAAAATCATATAAGCTCACAGTTCATTCAACCCTGATTATGGAATCACACCACACTCAACTCACTGCTCAGTTCAATCACTTCCAGCAACATAACAGGTATACCAGCAGCCAGAAAAGAGAGAGGACCACCTGCAAAATCTGTTAGAGCTACCCATTGAAACATTAAGGAGTATCACCCCTAAGGATAGATGAGGGCAGTCTCCACAAGTAGCTAAAAACCATGAATCATTTGAATGTCGTTTTAAATTCTTCAGAGACAACACTCTAAATCTAACCATATCAAATATTCAAAACAAGAACTTCTTCAAGAATTTTCTTTGGTAAAAACTCTATTATTTCTCTCAAGCCAAATGAAGTAAACAGTGTAATTTAGAGCAAGCCTGGAAATAATAGAGCCAAGAGAATTACCCTTAACAGATTTAGCAATATAAGACACCAGCCCAGGCCAATTTAACACAGGCGAAGCCACATTGATCTTATTGTTGTTGATGTTGCAAAAAATTTAACGGATAATTTTTGTCCTTGTACAGAAATACCACCCCTCAAGGGTCCTTACTCTTGTATATCAATCATTTGCACTTGGGACACTTGCAATACTGACATACAAAGAGGCAAAAATCAATGCCAAAAGAAGAAACCACTTAGAAAATATGAGGAAGAAGAACTCTGAAAATATGAGGAAGAAGGAATATATTTCTGTTATATTCAAAACTTCTTATTTTACAAGACCAAATGACACTCCTTATATAGGAGATATTACAAACATCATTATAACCCATTATATGCCACTATCATATTATATACATGCCACTATCTACCACCAACACCACTATCATATGCCACTATCTTATTATATGCATTAACACAAATTTCCAACAAAACCTATTTGGATATATCCATTTTTGCATAAGTGCTCTTGCTGTTCTTGTTGTAAGTTCCATGATTATATACATTTTCAACTTACTCCCTAACCATATGGTTTTGTAGTAATATGTTTTAGTAACTCAAATTCAAATTATTAAGCATACAAGTCCACTTTGATTCCATTTTTCATTGTATTGCCACAGCTGGATTTAGCTACATCTGGAAAAGGAGGAATTGGGACTTATATTGGAATATGTACCATTAGCGGTGCTTTTGGAGTTGCAGATGCTCATGTTCAGGGTGGAATGGTTGGAGATCTATCATTCATGCTACCGGGTTCATGCAAGTTAGTATTTGTGGTTAGCTTATTATCTGATCTAGTTTTGAAGTTTTGATATAAGCTTTCTTGTTTTTTATTCTTCATGTCTTTTCTTGCTGGTTTGGCTGCATCGGGGGCTCTAACCTTTGGCTTGAGATTGATTACAAAAGCAGCATTTGAGAATTCCAAGGATTGCCTGTGCAAGGGAGCTAGTACGTTCAAATCCTTTTAGCTGTTTTTCATAAATTTTGTAGGAAATATGATTCAATAAGTATTGCTACATATTGGGGTTACAATGTTCTAGTTACTGTTTTTTGAAAGAGAAACTTCTCAAACTAAGCACAAAAGAATTGTTGTTTCAAAACATAGATTATGCACTTGATATGTTTCTCATATATGCACTGACATTGTCAATTTTCCCTAGATTCCTATCTGAAGATACCGGATCACATAGCTTGGGTTCATGGTTACTATTTCATAACTACTTGACAAATTTCATTTTTAAAATAGGCTATTTTTATTGTTTCTCCTTAATAATTTAGAAGTATATCCATTTAAATTTATTTGGATCTTTTTTTTTCCTCTCTATTTTGCCGGTTTTTCTATTTTTAGAATCTGGTAATGCTTCAGGTATGCACTTATTCTAATAGCAATGTATATTGTGTGGGATCTTATTGGGAGATACGTACCACTATTAAAATGCATTAAGTTAGAATTACGAAAAAGGACTTACAATAGCAATTGTTTCTTGCATCTTGCTCATCCCAGCATTCTATTTCACAGCCAAATATGGCAGCTAGGGCTAGATGATATTGCTCTCATCATTCTTGGGGCTAACTAAGGTTACCTCACCGTCTATGTCCTTCTGCTCCAAAAGGTTATAAGGTTTGTTGATTTAGGGGTTGTTTGGTTTAGCTTATGTAGCTACTTAATAGTTTTTTTTTAAATATTTTTCTTTTTTTTTAAAAAGTCTACTAGAGTGTTGATGCAGTTTTTGAGGCAAAAATAGCTGAAGTACTTTTAACTTTTGTTTTTTGAATCAGTTGACACACTAAAATGGTTAAACAGCATCGAATGTCAACGAAACTTGACGCACACAGTTAATTAGGCACAAATAACTTGTAGGAAAAGGCGGGACTCGAAACCGATTCTCGGTTTTGAATCTAGAGTCTAATTTCTATTTGTGAAAACTTGTCCTTTAAAATCTTTTTTTTGGAACCGGTTGCCATACTTAATTGGTCAAACGGTGTCGGATGTCAACAAAACTTAACACATACGACTAACTAAGCACAAATAACTTGTAGGACAAGACAGGACTAGAATCGATTCCCGATTTTGAATCGATTGTTAACACATACTAAAACAAATTGTTAATATGTTTTTTTATTTATATTGTTGATACTCTGGTTTTGTTTTAGATATAAATTTGAGTTCTTGAATTATTAAAAAATATTAGTATTGTTGGAGGATGTTTTATATATTTTTGTAAAGAATGTTTAGTTGACATTGTATCGTTACAGGGTACATATATATAATTATTCGTATATATGATTTTGTGAATGTGAATGTGGATGTGTATTAATAATTTGTACAAAAAATGAATTAATAAAATATATATTTATTTTATGAAAAAAAATTGCGATAGTAATAAACTGTTGCTAATGGGTTAACTTGTTGCATATACATATTAGTGCCATCTTTAGCGACGGTTTAAACAGTCGCGAATACATTATTGATTTAATTTTGTTTTTTTGTGACGTTTAAGACCATCGCTAATAATACTTTTTGCAACGTCAACTACCCTCAATAATTTTTTTTTTTTTTTTGTGACGGCATCCTAAACCGTCATTAAAAGAGATGTTTTTTCCCTTTTTTTTTTGTGTCAAGTTAAATCGTTGCAAAAACTATTGATTTATCGTCGCTACAAGAAAGCAGCGGTTTGTAACCGTCGCAAGTACTTTTTGTCATGTCCCCTTCCGCCATCCCCCATTTCTCGTCGCTACTCCGTTGCAAAAAGTTTTTTTGTGACATGTCCACCTTTTGCGACGTTTACGACTGTGGCAAAAGCTCCGATTTTTAGTAGTGCTTGGAATAGGTTGGATAATGGCTTCTTTTGTAATTTGGTTCGTGTTTGGTTTAAACTGGTGTGGTTTGTGGTGTATATTGCTTTGGAACAGCTTGTTCAATAGCTTGTTCATGTTTTTGGAGAATAGCTTGGTCATGTTTTTTACATGCTTGGTTTCTAATCTGTTTCATGCTTGGCTTGTTTAATTTCTTTTCACCTAGACATTTTGTCAAACACATTCAGAGCATTGCCAAAACAAATGCATCAACTTCATTAGAAAATGTAGACAACCAAACAAACATTAACACAATCCAAAAACACTTTAAAGACAAAAAAATCGGATTTCTCATTTCATTCAAAATTATACATTAAGTTCAAATTGGCAAGTGCATAGTTGCCATTATATTACCTAAATCAAAAATGCTAACTAATTAACGAACTAACTAATCTATATTCCCTAATTGCTCATTGTTAACATTTCGATTACAATCACAGTAACAATCAATCCAGTTACAATCTATTTTTGTTTACCACAATAAGTTTGAACAGCCTTCTCTAATCTTGCGATCTCAGTTGTCATTTCCTCTAAGCTTGCAACCTTGTCCACTAACTTTGGCAAGACTTGTCTACCACGAGGACAAGTCGGTGGATCATACCAAGAGAAGAAGCCACAATCTCTTTTTTTCTTGAAAAAATAAAAATAAGTAAATAAATTGACCTCCATGCTAATCAAAGCCAGGTTTTACGGAATAAAAACATACACAAATTTCATATTGTTTACGGGAGTGGAAAACTTCATAATTTAGACAACCAAGAAACCTCCTAACTAGGTTTGTATGGGTCCATGAAGTTCGAATCTTTGCTCTCAATCCAAAACTGCAATGAGTCAATTCACCCAAATTGTTTCATTCATATTTCGCAATGGCTGAAAATGGAGCTTTGTTCCGTTCTGGATTCGTCGATCGTGTTGCCCTAATTGACCAAATCGCAAAAATTAGGGCAAACTGTAGCCCTATTCGATGAAATCCAAGAATTAGGGCCTTTTATATAGGGCTACTAAGAAATGGCAACGTTTTGTGTTGGTTTTGGCGCCAAAAATGTCTTTCTTCATTACTTCATCAAACTGAGATGGACGAGGGGCTTACATTGTGACACAGAATAAACTCTAGGGTTTTAATTGTCAAAATTAAAAACTTGGTGTTTAAATTGCAAAACATGTTAAACCTTGGGATTTTTTTTGTAATTTGCCCAAAAAATAATCATGTTATGATGTTTGAAGGTGTTTAAATTTCGAAAGGTCTGTGGTTGTTCAGGAGATTATTTTCGGGAAAAAAAGTATAAAACATATGAGCTGTTCAGACTTTTAAAATAGTAGTATATATATATATATATATTAGGGGTGGGCAACGATTTATCCGATCCGCACAACCCGCCCAAATCGACCCTACCCGCACACATAAGTAGGGTGGGTGCGAGTTTATTTTTTAGCCCAAAATCGGGTTCGGGTCAGACCTGACGCTACCCGTAGAGAATCGTATCTGCTCGGAAATTACATTTAAAATAGAACTCCACTCCTAGATTTTTTTTGTTTTGAATAGAAACCCACTCCTTGAATATAGAAACCCACTTCCAGATTATCCAAAAAAAATCATTTCTCTGGTCCTTCTCTCTCTCTCTCTCTCTCTCTCTCTCATCCCGCCATTGTCTTTCTTCTCTCTCATCTCACCTACCTCTCTTCTCTCCTCCCCGTCACCGTCACCGCCACCATTTGTCACCTCCTTACGGTCTCTTTCGTCTCTTCCCCGTCGCCATCTTTCTCCTTTCCTCTCGCCGTGATGCCATCGTCTCTTGCACCGCCGCTTCATCTTTCAGTTACCCAGCCATGCCATTGTTTGCTCGCTGCCATCCTTTCATTCTCTTTGTCGCCGTCGCCAATTGCAAACCAGATCTGGAAAATGTAGAAATTGCACCAAAAAAAAAAAAAAGGTGTTTCATTGCACAAAGTATGAGTCCCAAATCCGAAGTCCCCTATCTTTATTTATTTATGGTTTGTTGATTGTGGGTTTGCCTTACTTGATGGCCTGGTATGTCTAGTTTTGTTTTGTTACCTGGATTGCTTGCAATTTACCTGGTTTGTTACCTGGTTTGTACAAAAGAGATGTCATGTTTTTTTTTGGGAATGATTGTGAGTCAATTTATCTGGTTTGTTAACTGGTTTGTGAGTAGTACACTATCAACAAACCAATCGGTTCCCATGAATTTTTTGTTTTGCTTTATGTTTTTTTTTTCCCCTTTCCAAAAGCATATCTCAGAAAGGGGAGAAGGCCCCAAAAGCATAGCCTAAGAATAAAATTTTCAAATTAAAAAAAAGAAAAAAAATCTAATTTACAAACTGCCCGCATCTGCTGCACGACCCACCCGTGTAACCCACAACCCGCATTGCGGGCGGATGCGGTTTCATTTTTTTCCTAACCCGCACCTAATTGGGCGGGTCCAACCCGCCACCCGAACCGCGCATAATCGATCCGTGAACACCTCTAATATATATGTATAAGAGACCTCATGTTAGAAGTTTGCTTTGGGTCCTAGAAAAAACAAAGCCGACCTTGGCATCTGTATACGAAATACGTATTTAAATTTTTTCTTAATTTGTAGTATACTTAGTATATATCTAAGTCATACTGTACTTTAATCGAAATAATATTTTCTTCTAGAGTGATAAAATTCTTTTCACTAAATTTCTTTTTAAAATTAAGTTATGGTTTGTAAATTATTTAATATAATAATATTTAATTTTGATTTATATCTTTATTTTTAGCATTAAATGTTAATTATAGGTTAGATCTTAATAAATTAAACCACTTAATCAATTTTTGCATTACTCTAAATTAAAAATAAATATTTTTTTGGGCAAAACATCAATAAATCTCAAATTTTAATATGTTAAACCATTTGGTTCTGCCTTTTATTTTGTAGACTAATAAGTCCTATTTGAATGTTAAAAGCTCACTATAGGCGTTTTTTAGATTTCCCTCATTTCCGAAAATCAGCAACATTAACTATACCAACAACATCATCGAACATTAACTACATCATCAAACATCAATTACATCATCAAATATCATCATCACCAACATCATAAAACATCATCAACATTGATCAAATATCAATTACATCATCAAACATCATCAACATCACCAACATCATCAAACATCAACTACATCATCAAACATTATCAACAACACCAACATCATAAAATATCATCAACATCATCAAATATCAACTACAATATCATCAAACATCAATTACATCTTCAACCTCATCAAACATCATCAACATCACCAACATTATAAAACATCAACTACATCATCAACATTACCAACATTGTGAATATCGTCAAACATCAACTACATCTTCAACCTCATCGAACATCATCATAGACCAATATGGGATACAATATATTGATGTTTATACAATATAACAAATAAAGATACCATACCAAATATAAAATATAACAAACAAAGATACCATACCAAATGTAAAAAGGACTAAATGGTTTACAAAAAACACTTAGGACTAGATAGAGCAATATTTCCCAATATGGGATTTATGAGTAATTTTTCCTATATCAAGCCATACTTATATCCTATTTTTTTTAAAAAAAAATTTGTCGTATTAATGTACCTGTATCGTACCAACACCAATACTTGTACATGTATCTGTGCTTCATAGGCTCTTGGACTTTTCGAGCATAGTTCATAACCCAAAGGGATGGTTAATGGGAGTAACTTGATGTTCTTGACTTGCATCGTCTCCCAAATATCATACCATTAGAATTTATGAAATTAAGCGGTATCATTGTCGTAAAATAATCATCACCTAACCCAAGGTTAGGTGAGTAACATACTATTGGCAAGGTGCCAACATTGTAGACACTGAGACCACCATAAAAACAAGCTCCAATTACATTGAGATTGTTGTTTACCTCTGTATTCTATTCTTACTGATAAAAAACCACCATTCTAAAGTTCCATTTGTCAAACTCGTGATTGTGGGTGCTCCAATCCAATTCACAATCCATGGTGCATCAGGACGTAAATTCAAACAACTCCATTTTTCATCTCAATACATTGGAATGAAGGTGGTTTAAATGTGATGTTCATGAATTTGGACAAAAACATGGTCAGTCTAAATTTGCCAAAAAAAAAAAAAAATTGCTAAGTTCCTATTTTTAAAAAAGTAGTATAGTAATTTCTAAAAAATAATCTTCTCTTTTCTTTTTGTCAATTTGTATTATAATTTAGAATATTATTGTTGAAAACATAGTGAGATTGTAATGGAAAAGGCTTAATTTTTAATTTTTTTTGTCAATCAATAGCAAAGTAATTACAAATGTGAAAAATATTATATTAATTAGACTACTAGCACTGTTCAAAAAATAAAATAAAATTAGACTACTAGCCCAACAATAATTAGGAAGTCAACAATCATCAAATCTAACAAAACCAATAATCATGCCTTGCCCAGAAACTACTAGCTACATACAATGCCTATAACGGGGAAGAAATAAACACCACCACAAGAGATAACAAACTCCTCTCCATATGATTTGAATCTGAGACCCAACACCAAATAGGGTGCTACACAATTATTAAGCCAAAAGCCTTGATTCAGAAAAGGCTTAATTCATGATAGGAAAGTTCAAATTGAGTTTCTTCGCTTTCGATATTAGGAGTGGACAAACTTCCGTTCAGGTTTTCAGTATATAATAATAAGAGAATGTGTCATTCCAAACTTGGCTCGGCCTGACATCGGACCTAATCTTGCTATTCCAAATCTGGCCCTAAAAAAAATTGAAATTCCAAACTCGTATACTTGCCTCGTTTGGGAACAGGCTATTTTAGTAACTTTTTGACTTTTTACGAAAAGATGTGCAGAAAAGTAGAGAGGTGATGTGACTAGTTTTAGTTGGCTTTTTGGCTAAAATAGCCACTCCCTAAACAAAGAACTTAATAAATATGAACTATTGTTTTTTTAATTTTATTTTTTTATCTTGAATGAATATTAAATTATTTTATTTACTATTTGAATTTAGAACGTTAACAAAATTCAATAGGAAAATAGAATTAATTTTTAACAAATGTTTACATATTTATCTTTTATATTTTTTTACTTTATTTTATAACTAAAATAATATAAAATTATAATTAATATTTTACAAATGGACGGGTTGGGTTTGGCTGGGGTAGGCTGGGCTGGGCTAGGTTATAATTCTTTATTCCAAGCCCAACCCGAATATTATATGGGCATAAAATCTCACTCTAGTCCGACCCTATAGGCAAAATAAAATTTTCTAATCTTAAAAATATTAGACTAAACTAGACGGGTTAAACGGTTCGATTGTCACCCTATTCCATACCATGGAAAGCAAATTATAAGCTCAACCACAACACATATTTCTTATCCATCAATACTGGAGCATTTCTTAAGCAATTTATTCAATGTCACCTTTTTTGGGTTCAAATTATAGACTTGAAAGAGAGTAGGAACATTGTGATTTTATCTTTTTTTTTTTATTTTTTTTTGATTGCTTTGAAAAGGCCCATCATTACAAATTGACCAGAATGCCCTTGGTGATTTTAACCCACAAAGCCCTAACCAAACAAGCCACAAGTTCAGTGTCACAATTGGAGCCATTACTCCAAATGTTACTCAACAATTTTGGCACCTTGGTATTTTTCATGTTAGTTTGCCGTGGATGTAATTTTCTGGTAATAAGGTTGAGCTATGTTGGAAGCATATATCCTATGGTCGTAATTAGGTTTTGTTTCCAACAATTACTAGTACTTTTAAAATTTGCTGAAGAATTTGACAAAAAATTACACTCAAACAAGATAGAATATTTGAAATTAGTGAAATTTTCACCTGAAAATAAAAACATTCATCACAATCCTAAAAGTTATATATTCAAAATTTTAACTAAAATTGACAATTTAAGATATTTTTATCAATTAGACTTCTCATTTGGCTGGATTATTTCAAATTTAAATGATATATTAGAATTTAGCCAAATATTCTTTTAAGAGTTTCGTAAATCAAAAATTTCAGATTTAACAATAGATGGAAATTTCAATGAGAAAAAAATAAATAAATAAGAAAGATTTGTAACAGTTTTGTTCAACACTGATTTGCCGAACAAATTAAGGTTGTGGCATTTTTGTCAGAACATCCTTAGGTCATGACCAATTTGTTTAACTTCGGGATGTTCGACAAATTTAGATCGAACGAATATTTTTGTTTGGTAGATTTTGGAATGGTCATTCCATATAGGGAGTTTAAAGAAATGATCATTTCATTCCAATTTATTTGACAGCATTTTAGTAAATTGAACTGTACTTATTATCTAATCCCACAGAATTAGCTAGACTTTAAACGATGATAAAAATCAAAATCTATTTGTGACGAGGAAATGAAAAGATAGAAGGGGTATGGATGGTGCTTCATATTTGGTACGTATAGATGTGTTTCAACTAAGTAAAATTATCATTTTTCATAGTTTATCTGATATATAAAGATAGGTTTTGCATTGATAACTACCTTTCTAAACAATCATTATGTCTAAAACCACAACAAATTGAACCTCAATAACATCTATAATCAAAAGTCCAAAACAACTCACAGAGATTATTTGACAAATCTAAAATGAAAACATTACAAAACATCTAATGAATGTAGACCGCCACCAAAAACACCTTATCGTCCACCATTACATAGTGAAATGTTGGGGTTTGTGATGCTATCATAAATTGTTGAATTCCTTGTACTAGTGTCACCACCATAAGCATCTGAAAGTAGATCTTCAAGCAAGTATTGGGTCTCTTCTGAGCCTTTGTTGTCGTTTAACCATGGATGTTTCTCCACCATTTTCAATCCCTCCAGCTCCATTGCTACATCCTTCATGGTTGGCCTGTCCTCTCCTTTCACTCGTAAGCATCCCTTTGCTAAAATAGCAAATTCCTTAAACTGGTCAGCTTTTGCTTCATTCTTCACCTGTTCATCCACAATTTCAAACAAGCGGTCTTCTTTCATGGCTAAAATAAAATACATCGCTAAATTTCTCTCTGCTGCACACCTATCGAAAGAAATTGCCTCTTTGCCCGTTAGTAATTCCACAAGGACAACCCCAAAGCTGTAAACATCACTCTTTTCAGTCAATTGGCTTGTTTGCAAGCTTTCTGGATCCAAGTAACCATGTGTCCCTTGAACAAGTGTCGCTAACTGAATTTGGTCAATAGGGGTCAACCTTGAAGAGCCAAAATCTGATACTTTAGCAACGTAATTGTCGTCTAAGAGTATGTTGGCAGTCTTAACATCTCTATGAATGATAGGAGTACTAGCGGCAGAGTGTAAATATGAAAGGGCTGTTGCAGTTTCTGCTGCTATTCTTAAGCGATTCTCCCATGTTATTGAGGATGCTCTTTGGCATGCAGTGTGTATGTGGTCATAGAGAGTCCCATTGGTAATAAATTCATAGACAAGGAAAGGAACTTTTGTCTCCAAACAACACCCTAGCAGCTTCACAACATTTCTATGGTTGACTTGGGAGAGAATTATGACTTCATTAATGAATTGCTCAATCTGGGACTGACTCTGATCAGCTACTTTGGGCTTCTTAATGGCAACTATGGTGTTATCTGGTAATACTCCTTTGTAGACTATTCCTTGGCCTCCTTTTCCCAGGACATTATTTTCATTAAAGTTGTTTGTTGCCTTCTTTAGATCCTCTTCAGTAAAGATTTTTGCTGACTGGACCGATCCTTCATGTTTGGAAAGTTCTTGTAACATGATACCACCATTTTGCTGAAATAATTTTTCTCTAAGGTTGGCGATCTTCCTCTGCTTAGATCCCCAATATAGCCAGCAGCCACCAAGAAATAGTACTGATATGCCTATGCTAATGCCTATAATGGAAATGTCAATACCCAAAATTCACGTTTCAAATTTGTGTATGATTAAATAGAAAAAAAGCTACAAACCCAGAAGATGAAGTGTATAGCATTATAGCATAGATTCAATTTTGATGTAGTGTACACCACAAATAGAATGAATTCCACACATTTCATTTTATGGATGCAATTTCGGCCATATTTTGATGACAACTTTTTTGTTATTCCATTCATCTTTTTTCTTACCAAACACAACCGAGACAAGAATATGGAAAATATGATGAGAGAATTGGTTGTTTAGCTTTCTATGTAATCATTAGGTTGCTGAAAGAAAGATCTATTGAAACTGGAGATATATAATTTTCGAATTATTTTTTGTCAGTGCATCAATAATTGGGGACACGTAAACTCTATAACTGGAGATAGAGTCAAAAAAACAAGCATCAATCAGTTGAATATTGATAGAAAATTTAATATGTAGACAATTTTATGATTAATAGAATATGTGGGTGTGCGTGTACCAACCTAGTGCAATGTAACTAATCAAGGGAAGCTTCTTGTTGGGAACAGCAATTTTTTGTGCGTGTACCAAGCTACAACCTGATCCATTTTTTTTGCCATCGCCTTCGTAGCCCACTGCACAAAAACAACTGTATGTGCCTGGTAAATTTTGGCATGTCATATTGCACGGGCTTGAAGTAGTGCACTCATCAATATCTGAAACCGAACATCCAAATTTGATCATTGATGTCATATTCTTTATTATATAATTTTTTATACTGGAGTATCTCATTGAATATATAGACCATAGCAAATAAGTTGAAAATTTTCAACAGTAGCTGTGATTACCTCGACAGCCATTAGGAATATAAGGGTTCCCTTCATATCCCTCCGAGCAATTGCAGCGATACCCTGGACCATTGTCAAAGTTTGTACATTTGCTATTTTTATCCTTACAAGCAAAATTTGTTGGATTCTGTATGGCTTTATGACATGTTTGGTTACCTACTGCCCAGTCAAACACCACGGGGAGCTTTTTTCGTCCCTGTAAGTCCTTTAGATCTAAGGAAGAGAAGTTATAAGCAGTTTCCTCGGCTACAAAAGCATAGCTGCATGGATTGAAGCCCCATACACTGGTATGGTTGTTGATGCTAAGGATACTGATGTTGTAATTCTTCACTCCCTTGGGGATACTTGTCTGACAGCAGCCAATACCAGAGCAAGAGCTGTTGATCACACTGTCGATGCTGTCACACACTGACAAGCAACCCGTGGCATAATTTCGCCCCAAGGAACCAACGATAACAGCGAAGGTGTCACAGCCTACTGCTGTGAACTTGTTTCGGGTATTTGAGATGGGGAATTCGGGGACTGTGATCCAGGTTTCAAATATGTCGTCCCGATTCTGAACACCCCCTTCTCTGAAGCAATCAGACCCTATCGAGACTGATATGCGCAATTCACCAGAGAGAAGTATCTCTGTGATCTCAACGTTGGTGTCGCTGCTTTCTAAAAACAGTTTGGGAGGGTGGTAGTCAGTGTCGTTACAAGCAACCTTAAAATGTTGTTCTATGTAGCATCCTTCAGTTGTGCCAAATGGGTATGGGATACTAATGTTACCACAACGATCTTCGCAACCTGGCAAGGTCTGAGCAACAGCAGCAGAAGCAGAAGCAAAAGCTGCTCCCAAAAGAACCCATGCCAATTTAAGCTGCAGAAAAATCATAGGACCATTATAGTACATGGGTAGAGAGAAAAGGTTTTCAGGGATTAGATAGTTTTGTGGTTGTACATGATCATATTAAAAATTGGAGCTGGCTAATTTATAAGGAAAAATTGTAAAATATATATATATATACACAATTGAGTGGCTATTTCATAAATAATTACACATACATGAAAAAGTTCATAACTATAAGTATTAATGTTTATAAAGTTTATTACTGATCTATAATTATTTAAAAAAAATTACACTGAATTATAACCTCTCTAAAAATATATCAGCACACAAAAGAAAAAAAAAAAAAATGAAAAATTCATTTGGAGTCTAGTATTTTTGTTACATATTTCCAAGTATCGTAACAATTTACATTGACATTTATGATGTAGTACTCAATTAAAATATCTAAAGCAATACTCCGTCTTATATGTTCTCTAATTACTAACCAATCAAATCACTTACATATCATTGAGTTTAGAAAGTGAGCATAAAAAGTGAATTTTTATATCATTTTTCGATTAGATTAATACAACATACACCAATTATTTCGTTGACTCAAACTTAAATTTATTTTATTAAAACATAAATAAATATCTTTCGTGGCCAGTTAAGCTCTCACAACAATTGCTAATAATAAAGTCTATTTTGGAAAGTTAAAGTTTTACCTGAAAAGTCAAAAAAATCATTACAAGAAAGTCAAAAAAAAAAATTTTGAACTTTTTTTCCTTCATATTTTTGTGTAAAAATTCAAAAAATTCTACATACATCTTCTGATTTCTAGTGGAGAGATTGAGTGTCACAGTGATACTACATCATATGTGACATGTTGCATCACTAACCAATAATAAACTAGTATAGGAAGGATGAAGTCTACTTTTATGATATAATTATTTTGCCACAAATATATAAATAAATAAAAAAATCATAAATAATTATTGAATAATGATACCATTTCATTAGTATTGAACTTTTTTTTACTGGACTATGGTCGCTCTCATCACCAAAATTAAAAGCATCGTATAATTCGCACAAGTTATTTCCTGATCCCTTCACAAGATAGCCACTTTTCTTTGAGCCCCACGGTATTTTCCTTCTCATCTACATGACATTCACCTTGAACTTTCTTAATTTGTGTCTTTTTCTTAAGCTGGAAAACGTTTTTAGAAAATGTTTTTTACATTTTTTAGTATTTGATACAACAGAAAATAAAAATTAACAGAAAATATTTTTCATGCTCAATGGAAAATAAAGATATTTGAATGGAAAATATTTTTCACTTCCAAAAGGCGAAAAAACATTTTTCGAACTAAATTTTTACCAATACCACCTCCACCATGACACCACCTCCACCCTATATATAACCACCACCACCACCAATACTATTACTACTGCCGTCACCACCACCCCAACACCACCACCTCCTCCATCACCACCACCTCCACTAGGTGGCAACTTTAGAAATTTTTTTAGATAGGATCACTTGAAATTTTAAAATTTACAAATTTTATAAAAAAAAAAAAGTTTTAAGGTAATTAACATTTAAATTTCTCCACCTTCAAATAAAATAAACTTTCAATTGTATTTGATAATGTGTCATTTTTTTGAATTATTACATAATAATTTCATTATCAATAGTGTTAAACACATCTATCTATATGTGTGATTAATAATTGATCTTTTATTTCGTTTGAGTATTAAGAAGATAAATATAATAGAGAAGGATTAGGTTCCTAATGAGTTTTGGTTTCTAATAGATGGGGACCTTATTTTTTTTTTCATGGAATCAATTAATTATCAAATAAAATTTTTACTATAAAAAAATATTCAAGGCTTTTTAGCAGGGAGATGATTGTATGGGACTCCATCATCCCTTCTATGGCGTCGCCCTAGCTTTCACCTCCACCTTCTCCTCTACCCTACTGCTACTACTACTTCGACCACTAATGCAAGTATTAGTGCATCAATTTTAAGAACACAACCAAATAGAAAATGTTTTCTATTATGAAAACAAATTTATGTAAAAAAATGTTTTTCGTCAAAACAAATGAAAAAAAAATGTTACTTTCTTTTTATTTGGATAAACTACATTGACCTCTCTTGAAATTAAAAACAAAAAATATATATATATATAGACAGTAAGCTACACAAGTTTAGTATAATTACATTGGACACCCTTAAGGTTTTCATTCATATAACACTTAAGTCAATTTTTCATTAAAAATTCTTTAGTCATATAAATGAAAAAATATTTCTCTCATATATACTATCTGCATATTAATTTTAATACTTTTAACCTTAATAATATAGAGGTCAATGTAATTCTATTAAAATTATAAAATTTATTATATTTTTTTTAAATATTCAAAAAAAAGTCAGTATAGTTTTTTCTTTTTATTTTATTAATAGGCAAAAAGTCATAGAGCGTTTGTCCTCATTCTACCATTGGTCATTGTGGTTGCAATGTATCAGGACCCTCTTCTTGCAGCCTCCATTCTTGCGCCCGTCTTTGTAGACTTTCGGATCTACTTTTAGACTAAATTTTGATAATTCGAACCGTCATATTTTATAATTTATTCAGTATATCATCCCTGTAAAAAATCAAATTGATCGGATATCAGAAAACATGTGTTCGAAAAATTGAACTAAAAACTATTTTTTAAATAATTTAATAAACAGTTTTTTGAACACATACTTTTTGATATTCGATCAACTTGATTTTTTATAGGTATGATATACTAAATAAATTATAAAATATAAACGGTTCGAATTATCCAAATTAAACCTAAAAATAGATCCAAAAACTTACGAAAACAGACACAAGGACGAAACTGTACGGAAAGACTCTTGACTCGGTTGCAATAACTACTGTCAACAAAGACTTGTCTAACCCATATTAAACGAGTCGTGACAGCGATTTTCGATTGACAACTGTCAAGTAAAGCGAAGTGAAGAACCATTCTAACGACAGCATTAATTGTCTCCGAATTTGTCAAGTCAATGTCTTGAATTTTATTCCTTCTATGATATTTTATAATTAGCTCTTCCATTTTTTTTTTGAGGAAAATTATGATTGATTTGGGAATTAACCATGTTTACCACATATTGCACGCCATCTAAAGAAATTTTGACACTCATAGTTAAAATCAAAAGGATTGGCAGATGATTACTCCGTATATGTTGAACCCATGTATCATATGTATTTGGGCGTCATAGGCACACACAAGTGGTTATTGTATTTTGACTCTTGTGTTATTTTGACTTATATATATTTTTACTTATAGAAAAAAAAAAGTTATTATATTTTTAATTAACTCAATTTTAATTCTTAATTTTAAATTTTTTTATCAATTTCTAATTGATAAATTTGTTAGTTTTTTTTTTTTGTTTTGTTTTGTTTTGTTTTTTTTTTGCTTCCTCAATCTTCGTTTGGTTAAAGTTACAGAGGTAGAAAAGACCGATCATATATTAGGTTCTCAAAATATTATCATATTAGGACTTGTCTTTGTTCATGGAAACTTGATTTTATTCTTTTGTAGGACTTTTTTTATGTATTTTTTTGTTTTTCACTTCTATTGTCTTTCCTTGGCAAATTTTTTGTTTTGTGCTTCCTTGATCTTCGTTTGGTTAGGTGGATGAGGTAGATTTTTGAAATGCACTCAAGCATATTTTAAAAAACCCAAAAACCCTTTTTTTTTTTTTTTTTTTTTTTTTTTTTTTTTTTTTTAACTTTATTAAATTTTTTCTTTTACATCAAATTTTGAAAACTAGATTCGATTGGAAATTAGAGTCACTGGTGTGCAAGCGGCAAAATAATAATTGTTGCATGGTTTATAGAAATTATTTCGAAATTTATTTTTATAATTTGAATTATTTAATTTAAAAAAAAATATTAAGTAAAATATATTTATAAAAAATTAAGTCGATCGGATATCGATAGTTTTTTCATCAAAACATATTTATATATAAAATAAATAAATATGTAAGTATTAAACAGAATACAAATACGAGTTGATGAATATCCGATCAACTTAAATTTTTATAAGTATATTTCATTCGATGTTTTTTAAAAATTAAATAATTCAAATTATCAAAACAAAATCCGAAATAATTCTCATGAGTTGTGGGACGCTCACTTCTGTATGAGCCACACAACATTGACTCCAAATCCATTGGATTAAACCTTCAATCCTTCCAAATTCCACTCCGATCGACTCTTCAAACCCATTTACCAAGAATAAAAATTATGAACACAACACATAATTTCCTTTTTGGTAAATTGGTGACTTTTTAAACAATTTATTCAGAGTTATTCAACATGTCACCTTATTTTTTTTTTATTTTTTGTTTTTCTTAACATAAAAAAAAAGATTCAAATTATAGACTTTTTATATTGAATTTAGGGACAGTTATACACAAGTCCTAATTTATAAATTTATACTCTATTAAGAATTCAAGTCCCATTAAATTTTTAATAGTCAGAATTGTTTTTCAAACAACGATTGTCATCATTTTATGATTCTCTATAATGGAACATGATGATTTAACATTTATTTTGATTTTCAAAATTTTAAAAGATCAAATTTTAAAAGATCAAATTTTAAATTGAAAAAACTAAAAAAAATTATGTGCAAAAAAAAAAAAACTGAATTATTTTTTATACAAAAATGAAAATCTTGTGTCTATAAAGGAGTATGATGATGGAATATTGATATGCAAAATTAAAATAAAAAAAATAAAAAAACTGATAATATTCTTAATTTTAAAACTGAAAAACTGATAATATTCTCGATTTATTGGATAGTTTCACTGGGAAAAAAAAAAAAAAAACAGAGTATGAGATTTAACGTTTTTGCTCTTCTACTTATTGGTTTAATTATTTGGAGCATTACTATGCAAAATTGATAATATTCTTAGCTTTAAAAATAGAAAAAAAAAACTGATAATATTTTTAATTTTACTAATAAGATTTATTGATTTAAAAAATCTTAGACAGAACCAAAGCTACTATAATAGTTGTAAATAAAATTTTTAAGTAATTAACTCTTAAATTTATTGTGGTAAGTTCTAACATCCTAATTTTTGCCATGATATTT